TCGTGACACAAGTGTGAAGAAAGCGATTGAGAGTAATCAACATGTTTTTAATTCTAATAATTATTTCCCTATTGAATCGAAATACGTCGTAACCAACTGTGAAATATAATGTTCTTCTTTTGCGTGTTCTTCTTTTTCTTGCCTTGGACTGCCCTTCGTTGGCGGGAGGTTCCCTCTGGGTGAACGGTCGGTCGACCGCCAAAGCGTCTGAGCTCAATCGGAGCGACGGACAACCCACTCAAACGCAACTTGTCCACGTTGGGGCGCAACGCACAACTTGCCTATCTGCTAGATAACTGTACTCGTAGTAGTTATTCCAACCAATAGCCATTTATTTCTCTGCTGTGTTGCGTCATTACTTCTCATGCGCCGACAGGAAAGTTATATGGGGATTTCCCAACGAGCTAGAATATACAACGTAGAGAGGCTGTCCCTATAGTTTCAGCGCTCTCGGTGGAGGCTTGCCGAACTAGTGGCCGCCATGTTTTTTGAAGTCAAAACATACGACAGGCGATGTAACCAGGGTGTAACCGTCCGTAAATGTTTTCAGAGTATTAATTTACGAGTAAACTTGTCACGGAACTTTCAAGCAAAAATAATTTAGGATAATTATTAAAACGAATAAAATCGTATTGCTGCATGAGCTAGTGCAGTCTACGACATTTTACAAAATCTGATTTATGACGCCGACCAAAACATTTTGAATTCACCCTCAGAAAATTCGTCTTTGGATCCGCCCCTGGTATTATCCTTTGGTCGGATTTACTTCTTAGTTGTGATACCAAATAATGCAAGTTGCAAGTTAAAATTCAAACTTAAAGCCAAGAATACAGAATATATACTTTTTTTGCTATTTAAGGTCGCATCAACATCTAGGTCATTAGCGACCACTATTGGATTTATCCTTATGGCACCTACGAGGATGACATGACATGGTGATAATAGGGGGGTGAAAGGACGAACGCAAATACAACCATGCTCGACGCGGGACTCAAACCCGCGATCCTTCAGTTCAACATGGTCGGACACCACTGCATTAACGATCTCTACCATGCGGACGACAATATATATCCTTGTAAAAGTATAAAAGTACAAAAAGTACAAAAATACAAAAATAAAAATACTCCTACTACTTGGAGCTATTCTTTCTTTTTGAATTGAATTGAATTATGCCTTATTTTACGTGGCGAGACTCAGGCCATTAGGCCTGCTCTTCCGTCTGACCACGCAAATTTCGCTACGCTCCTTTCACCAACTAGCGGAGAAAGGAGGCATATCTTGGGCGAGAAACCGGCGATTTTGAATTTAGCTCAGAGGCGTCATTTAGGCTTGAGGATCTTTTACATGCAAGTAAATCTACGAACATGGGACAGCCGGCTTTACTTCCTCTCCGCAGGAAGGCGTATGAAGGAAGGATTTCTTCGCCCTTAAAAATCCACGGCTTCGATCGGGTTTGAACCCGCCAACTTGGGTACAACAGTCCAGTACGCTAACCGTTACATCACCGCCGCCATCTTTTTGTCCTGTTTTATGCGATTCTTATGGTAACGTTCCGTTGACATACTTCTAATGGTTCTCTTCAACGATGAACTGCTCGTCTAATATCACGGCGTACGTCCGACGACAGTTTTTATGGTCCAGTTCTAACGAAATTAGGGCTTCACCTTCGTTCCTGCTTAGTGGACGCTCTGGCCAAACTATGGTCTTTCAGACTATTGTTTACTCTTAGAGCTACTGGAGATCCCTTTACGTTCTCTGCTGGGTTTTCTCGGTGTAAATAACATTCCGTGCCTGGAGGTAAATCACAGGAGGAAGGCACCGAAAAAATTTCAAACTTTTGCAATTTTTGAAATTTCAGAGTTAACTGTTAACCTATGCAGACGACAGACAGACGGACAGGCGGACAGATGGACGTTTTGAAACAAACAAGTTTTCGGTGTCAACGGCACTCTATATGTGAAATATGACTGAATAACTTTTTGGAATTATTTACTACACATTTGAACAGGATGTGTACCCTTTTCTAGTATCAGGGCTTCACAATAGAAATACTGGAAGAAAGTTATGTGCAGTTGTAGAACTATTGCTACAGTATGAAGGATTACAAAACGTGAATTCGACTACACAACGTCTTATAGAAAGTAATGCGTATAGTAAACAGAAACAAGATTTATCTATTTTTCGTTGCCAGATTCCGATAACAATTTTTTCTCACAAAAATCTCCGATTTCCGCCTACATGCATTACTTTTTCTTTACTACGTACATTGTATGGCGAGAAAGTTAAAGAAATCATAATGTCGAAAATAAAGAAAAAGATGTCAATAAAAATAGGTTGTAAAGGCTAAAATTGACAAAAAACGCAAAATGAAACTAACAGAAATACAGTAGAGAGATTTCTATTGTCAAAAATCTTAAAATTATAACAGAAATAAGACACTTCCAAGCTCAATTATAAATAATTAAATAATATAATATTAATTATTACTTTTTGTACTACATGGAGAGAGAGGAGACTCTTCCTCAAATTCAGCCAAAATATGCATTTTGAGGGGATCGGATACAAGGATGGTGATCTCTCACGTAAAAACTAATAAACATTATACAAAAATTTTATCTGGAGTTTTTTGAAAAACATTTTTAAGGTATCCTTGAATATTGAAAAATTGCTCCGTCTTCAAATTTATCCGTCCAGTTTGTTGTTTTTATATGCACATGTTTGTAAATCATTCAGAAAATTTGTAATCTGTTTTCGATCTCCAAGACAGTAAAAATCGTTAAATTTGAAGATATTTCACACGAACTATTTAAGCTTTCGTTAAGTTTAATAAACATTCTAAAACCTCTACAATAAATGAAATATGTCAACACTTCTTTTTCCTTTTCTAAGGACGTTCAGAATGGGAAGTATGGATTGTCTCAATGAAGTGGTTCACTAGTAGAAATTCTAAAGATACAAACACTGAACATTCTATAAATAATATGCGGAGTAGGTCGATGACGCTTGGCATGATATCGGTGTTCCAAAACATCCCAAAGGTGTTCGATAAGATTCAAGGCACGACTCTGCAGTTCAGTCCATTACAGGGATGTTATGGTCGTTTAACCATTCGACCTCAGGCCGTGCAATATGTAGAGATGCTCGAACGTGTTGAAATATGGAATCGTTATCCCCGGATTGCTGTTAAACAGGGGGAAGTAAGCAGGTGTTTAAAACATCACCGTAGGTCTGTGCCGTGATAGTGCCACACAAATTAACAAAGGGTGCAAGCCCTCTCCATGAAAAGAACGAGCACACCATAACACAATTTTGGACGTCTCTGGATAATTTTGATCTCATAGTTAAGGACATTGAAAGGGTGATGCGCATCATATAAACTATAAATTATGACTGACCCCTGTGGGTTACTGTAGCGTGATTTGACCTGCTAGAGTGAACAAAAGAATATGCGGCACAAGATATTTTCTACGTGACATTAACTTTTGACTGTTCACACGCATGAATTCCGATTTTTATACATTTTCTTTGAAGTTGATTAATTACAGCGTGTTTTAAGTCAATGTGTTTAATTATCTCGATCTTAACCCTGTTTGTTACAAAGAAATAGTACAATGCAAACTATATTTGAGTACGCCTGTTATTTTATTTTTTGGTCAAACGGATGTTTGAGGATTTTCAAGTCAAAGAAAATTATAAAAAACTTTAAATGTAATGTTTTGTGTGAACTTTATGTAGGAATATATGAATTTTAAATGTAATTTTGTGAATATTACGATGTGAATATTAATAATGCAATGAGGAGTAACGAAATTTAAATGATTAATAGATTAAGAAAAAGGTACGCTGAAGTGAGTGGCTACTAGATGGTACCACGAAACGAATCTTTTTTTTCTGATTCTGCTTCCGAATGTAAAGGCAATTTGAATTGTTTCATTTTTCTTTTAATGCATATAATACTCCTTGGTTAAAAAGACGTGGGCAACCCCTCTGTACACAAATTACACTTCCTGGACAGGGCATCCTGTTTAAACTTTAAATTACCAACTTGACAGGCCGAAGGACGCATCGCTGTCTACGCCGCCGACAGTCCACCGTGACACTCCCGTGGCAGCGGATCTGGGTAAAGGAGCCGGACCGATAGAGAGATGTTTGGTGTCACCCATGTCGCGGGTGCAGCGTGTTCGGTCGCAGTATTAAGTGTATTTTTATTAGGAACGTGCTAAGCGCAAATATCCTCCGGAGGCACCTCGCTAGGCTGGTATTATCTACTCGATTTCTTTTCCAAATGCTGATAACCTTACTCAATTCAAATCCTAGCCATCCACTTTGAACTTTCCCAGATAATGAAGATGTAGGATCAGCCTGGCCCTAAGAATGTTAGTGGGAACGGCATTGGTAATGTCTAATCGCACGGACCATGACCCGTTGTTTGGAGTACAGCTCCGTCATTTTCCTGGAAATTATTAAAAGGAAGTTACGAAAACAACCAATCAGAGCAGCCGGCCTAAAACCTTCAAGCAGTGGTGTAGTACTTCGTAGGTAATTAACTAAGTTCGAAAACACTCAACCGCACGTGGAGACGTCAACACAGTATCTCACGATCTACGAATTCGCTAGAGAGGAGGGGGTTTTTCCTTATTCTCGAGGGAGGGGGTTGCACTGAAACTAGCCTTTTTTTACTTGACATTTTTTCAGTTCGAATCAAAGTCCAGCCGTACATCAAGTCCTTGACGAGATTTCTGCATTTTTGCGGATGCTCTGAAAGAAGGGGTTACGCAAATCGTGTGACTCTTGTGCGAAATATAAGGGACGCTCGTTCTCTTTAAGGAAGAGTTCCCACTACAGCGCCATTCGCCGAAGTGTTACATAGTTTACGATCTGCTACAATTGTGAATGTTATTTCTCACTTGTGCCATTCTCGAGAGTGCATCATTTGTGTTTTTGATTTGTTAAACCCTAGTTTTCAACCAGTACTATAATCACTTGACGTTTGTTTACAAATGGAGATATCTGGAGGCATCGAAAGGTAAGAACTACAGGTTTTGTCTCCTGAACTACAATTTCTTAGTAAACCACTAGGATATACATGTTAATGCCTTTAAAATTATGGATTCATTTTAATATTCATTCATTTATCACCATACACATTTCATGATTCTTCAATGCTGACATGGTTAGAAATAAATAATATATTTTTAATGAGAACCAACTTCATAACTGTACATGAAAAACAAAAAAGAAACAAAAGTTAATTTTCAAAAAGTTATAAGTAATATTCAGAAAAGTCATTTACCAAGCCATTTAAATAATTTTTTGTTTACATTGAATATTTCGTTTTCATGAACGTAAAGTCTTTCTGACAAGAACTGGTGTTTAATAACTTCTAAATATTGCATCATTTTGTTTTCTTAGCACATTCTTTAGGTATACTTTCCTACTTATTTAACACACTGATATGTTTGGAGATACATCATATCATGACGTTCATGAAGTTATGGATGTAAGCATGACAGGGCGATAGGTTTTTGGGTTCGTTCCATGGATGACAATATACATAGTTCAGTACAAGCTCCATGAAGATGGTTACAATGTAGTACATTTAAAAATATCTTATAAAATTAGAAAAATAAACATGGAATTACGACAAGAAAATAATTTATAATATGACGAAATACAAGGGAAATTCGTATATCAAGTGCCGAATTTTACACTTAAAGCTATTAACAAATAAACTTTAATTGTTGCTGAGCAAATAACAGTATGAGCTGTGCTCTGTCACACACAGCTGGTAGTGATTTTATAGTTATTAATATCATGAGTTCGAGTTATCGAAAATAAAATGCGGTTGAAATTTGTAAATTGATGTCCTAGTCGCGGTTTATAACCGTGAACATGTACGTGTATTTTTTACATGTACTTTTATTTTATTTCATGAAAATGTATTTTATTTGTGAAATCGGTCGTATGTTGAACAATATTCCTTTCTTCATACCATCTTCTAAGAAATACTAGTGCTGCTAGAGCAGCAGGTACTTTCTCATATTTTCACATTACGCGAAAAGCACTCAAATTTTCAAAAAGTTGTACGTGACTTTAATTCAAATCTATCTTTAAGGAACACATTTCATAAAGCGATAAAATACTTATCTTTAATAAAGTAGTTGTAGGAAGATACCGAAAACAATTTAGAATTTTTGCCGTTTTTGAAAAATCAGAGTTTTCAACGAAATGAGACCTGCATCTTTCTCTTAAATGTCCTTCTCACTATCTAACAACAAAATTTAATCAAAAACGTTGGAACCATTTTTTTGAAAATGACCCACGGGCTCTATGTAAAGAACCTCCCGAAATTAAAATATCGATTTAAAATTCAAGAGGCTCGACATCAGTCAGATCGTTTGAGGAATATCAATTTTGGAGAAAATTTCCTGAACGGTTTAGCTACTAGCGGACAGTGTAGCGTCGTGCCACGCTCAAACCGCCGGATGTTGAACAAAGGGATGAAAGATGACGCACTGGGACTTTCTGTGGACGTAGCGGGCCCAGAGCGGCTTTGGGGAGGAGGCAATGGGGGCGACGGGTAGCGCCAAAAGGGCCTATATAAGGCCAGGATAACAATGCTCCAGTCTTCTTGTGCTAGCGGCGTCGGCGACAGGTGAAGCGCATGTCTGTGCGTGTAGGTGCACTAGGGCGAGGCGGCTTCATTGTCGTGACTTGAAAGACGCGTAGATGGTCTCAACGTAGAGCGGCTTCATACAGGGAACATCGTAGTATGTTGCGGTGTGGTAGCCGTTCTTAAATTATCTCCCTTGTAGTGGGTCTTATTTATTTAGTTTTATTGTAAGCAGGGTAGTTGTTAAATTGAGACTACGGTTTAGATTGATAACAAATCTGATTTTACAAACCACTGTCGTCTGTGTCCGATTACACTTCGTATGACGCCACAACAGACAGACGTTTTGAGAATATTATTTAAAATAAATCGATTTTCAGTAGCAAAGACCCACAAATCATGTATTCTGACTACACCATGCGTTAAAGGATTTCCTCCAAAATGTAGCATCTGGATTTATCCTCTTTTTCGTTTCCTGGGCCCGGCAATAAGAGCTTCTCTGACGAAACTTCGGTGTGTTTTGTCCCGCAGCATTACGTAACTGTCTTTCTTAAGAAGTGCCTTCTTCACGGCAAGAAAAATAATTTGAGCATTTTTTGAGAAACGTTTCAAAATGTTGAGACTAACGTAAAAAATAACCAAAAATCAAAATATCCATTTCAACTCGCAAAGCCTCGAATTCGTTCAGATTGTTTAAAGAAAATCGATTTAAAAAAAAAATAGAATTGAACTGTTTTATGCGCAAGTGTTGAGACATCCGGACAGAGACATGGACAAACGGACAAGCAATGTTTGCTGTCAATCGTCTTTTCAGTATAAAGACCATGAAACATGGATTCTGCCTCACAAGTATTGGAGGTAAATTGACAATATTAAGGCTTTATACAATCTAATTATAGCTTAAGTACAGCAAAAATCAAAATAATCATTTCAAATTTGCTGATCAGTAGTCGTCTGAGTCAACGAGTGAGTATCAATTTTGGAGAATATGCCTTCTCTGCCTAAGCTACTAGCGTTGAACTCAGACGGTCGCTGAACCATTTTGCCGTCAGCCAATTGTTAATATCAAGGACGCAGAAAACGTGGATGCCAAAACGTTATGAAACGAAGGTATGTGCCACATATAAGAACAGGTATATCCACTTTTTCGGTATTCAGGTTTTTCGAAATACCGAGTTTTTTTGTCACGAAATCGTTATTTTTTCTCAGCATTACTATATTTTTTTCTACTACCATTGTATAATTCTCTCATTTGGACGGCTGCAAACCGGTTGAATTAACGATACTCATTACTGAACATATTTCCATTTTATATTACAGCGTTCTGACCAATCGCACAGATGTTTACAAATAAAATATAGGCACTTTATAATCATTGAGGAATCGTTCTAGTACATGTTTTGTTCGATTGTGTACAGTTTGTGTCGAATTGTGTAAAGTTTTCTTAATTTTTGATTTCGTTATAGTAGGCGCACATGTTATTCATGGAAATTATAAAACATTTAAAACGTCGATCTAAATGAAATTTTCTTTGAAAGAAATTTGAAGACCATTTTAAAAAACTGGCGATTTAAGCGCTACGGTAAATTCAGAATTTTTAGCTTTTCTTTCACAGAATTTTTTGAGTTTTCAAAAACTTCATTTAAGGTTATTTAAAGCACTTTAACTCACAAATACAATAGAGCTTACAAATTGCTGGAAATGAGCATAATAACAGCGTTAGAGAGTTTTCAAAGAAATTACATTTGTGTAACTTTTGAAAACACAATAAAATACCCCGAAACGAACTTTACGTCATTTTAAAGAGCGCGATCAGCACTATCCGTTCGAAACGCTGGAGAAAAAAGTTTCAAGCCATTTGTTAGAAAATGTGTTTGAGCATTCCTGAAAATGTGGAATTTTGTGTTAGTTTTCATAGAATACGGTTGAGTTTTTGAGAAACTTTACGACATTATTTCAAGGACATATACTCATAAATATAAGAATGTAAACAAATGGCCGCTAATATACATATAAGACGTGAGAAAACAAATCAAAAATAAACATTTTTGTAATTTTTGAAAAACAAAAGCATAGAGTAATATGGTGTTTTTGTCATCTTATAGAGTACATTTAGCACTATACCTACTAATTGTTTTAAAAAATTGAGAAAAATTGTATATATGTAATTGTTTTGAAATTGCACATATTGATCGCAATATTGCGCGAAACTACTTCAAATGTGAAAATATTTACATGAGTTTAATGTAAGAACTCACTATGGAAAACAAATTATACTTGAAGAAAAAATCTATAGTCATTTTTTTAGTTGTAAGATGACACGCAAAAAATTTTGAAATTCTCAAAAATTCATAGTTAAATCCGAAAATCGGGCCGATGCCACCTTTATGAGTGTATTTTACTCTATTCCTACAAGAAATTTAAAGAAAAAATGTGTAGTCGTTTTTGAAAAAAATTGAAAATGTCCGGAGTAAAGTACTCCCAAGTTTAAAAATTGTTTTTGAAAATCTCAAACATTCGACTTGATCCAAATGCTTGGAACAATTTTTTAACAATCCAATTCGTGGTTTAGGTGCTAGTGGTGTTCACAGACGGACGGACGGACGGACGGACGGACGGACGGACGGACAGACTGACAGACATACGGACGTTTTCGGGGAAAAATCCCTTTTCGATATCAGGGGACACCAAACCGTGTATTTCCGTTGAAATCACGAAAATGATTTTCCGCAGCATTACATTACTTTTCCTATACTAAATATATTACTCCGTATATACGCACCTATACGGGAAAGTAAAAAGCGAAAAGGGTGACCACGGATTTATTGCCGCGACGTTTGTAGTTTCTCCTAGTTGTACTAATAAAAAAAGACACCGGCATTGTAGGGCATGTGTCCGTTGAGCGGCGTTGGCTGAATCCTGCATGTCAACTGCCACGAAACGTTTCAATATAAAAGTTTAACTTATAAAATTTTCATAAGTCGTAGAACAAGTACCGTATGAAACTCGATGCAATGGAAATTCATACACTCGTGTGAATGTCACCCTCGTGTGTTAATACCCAACATTACATTGTTTCATAATATCCACGTACTATTCATCGTTTCATAATGTACTATTTCATAATGTATTACTATGTAACTTGTGTCCGAAGAAGTAAAGGATAAGATTGTGGAGATCCGAGTTCATGGTACGCTGGCTTTTAATTACCCCAGGCACGCGAGCGAAACAAAAGTCAAAAATAATGTGAGGTATCAAGTTGTTAAAGACTTGCTTCGCTGGCTTCCATCACCTTGCACTCGTCGTCACTGGGAACTATTGGCAGTTTGGAGGGTGCTCATTCATTGGATTTCAAAGACAAAAACTGGAGAAGGGCGTCATTTACGACTTGTAATGAGTAACATGTACACTCAAACAATAAAAAAAATTATTATGAATTAAGGAATGTAAGTCAGTATTACACTATCACTTTAATTTAATTACTCTTGAGTTTCCTTGGCGAAGCAACCTCGGAAAATGGAATAAAATGTTGAAGATGAAGAATAAAATAGTGATGCTACAACGGCACATTCTTTCTCGCAATTTTACAATGTTATCTTTATGTACGACAGGACACCCATATGTTTCATTAATTTCAAAAAGAAATTATGTCAAAACTACTGACTTTTACAGAAAATCGTACAGAAAGATTGATTGATTCTTAAAGAGCTAAGTATGTACAACACGCTTAGTCTGAGGGAATATCCGTATCTTATTTTTTGTACTTTTGAAAATTGTTTGTCATTTAAGAGAAAAACCAGCAACATCCGAAAATGAAACTGCCACCATATTTTTTACCGTCCTTTATTACGTATCTGGAGAATATTTAAAGAAACAGGTGATGCTACAGAAGTACTTTCTCGTACTACTACTATTCTATTTTCTTCAGTGTGGGCTAGCTTTAAGGTCTTGCCCATCCTTTTGCCAGCTGCCATCTTTTGCCACCCAAAATATCTTTTTTGAAGTTTTCTCATTTTTCGATTTCCTAATGGTGGATTCGGAATATTATTTCTAGAATATTAAAGAAGAGAAAAACATCGACCTATATGATAATTTTCATTTCAAAATCTAGAAAAATTTTAAAAAGTTTCAGTTCAAGTGTAAATGCTAAATTTGAAGCTCTTTTCATAGGAATCATTTCAGTTTTCGAAAATCTTCATTGGAAGTCATTTGAAGCACTTCCGCTTACAAATGCTATAATGCACACAAATTGAAAGAAATGAGCATATTAAGGACGTGAGAGAAATTTAAAAAATATTACATTTGTGTATTATTTGAAAAGATAAAAGAATACAGCAAAATCATTTGATGTCATTTTAAAAGTGCAATTATCACTACACGTACGAAAACTTTGGAGAAACAATTAGGAACAGTTTTTGAGGAAATGGCGATTAAGTGTTTCTGAAAATGCGAAAATTTGAGCTCGTTTTAACAGGAAAAAAATTGAGTTTTCGAGAAATTGTATCTGACGTTATTTAAAGCACGTGTAGTCCTAATTGCAATAATGTGAACAAATCACCCCTAATAAAAATATTAAAGAAGTGCCAGGCAAGTCAAACAAATTACATTTGCGAGCGTGCCTTTGCCATAGTACGAGCGATCCCTGATAATTGGACCAGCACCATATTTTTTAGCGTCTCTTATTACAACAGTGAAGAAAATGTGAAAATATTAGTTGTTTTTGAGAAAAAGTATTTCATTCGCATAACTCGCTTTCCAACAAAAATTTACATCACTTTTTTAAGAGCAAATTTGTACAATAGGCTTTGTCTTAGACAAAAATTTCTATCTCCAATTTGGAAGTATTACATTTTTTTCCAGTTTTCAAAACGCCGGGGTCGTGGAGGAAATTGAGACTTGCACTATTCTCATAAACGTTCTTTTCACTATTGAACATTAAAATTTAAATAAAAAATTGAAGCTTTTTTTTTTACCTGCCCCTCCCGAGAGCCCAGGCAGGATACTTTAAATCACCGGGCGCGTAGCGCCGCAGTGTCACTGCCCTGAGGAAGCCTGCGACATGTCAGGCGAAACGTCGGCACCCCAGCCAACGACGCGGCGTCTCCTGGACAGCCGAGAATTCAACTTTAGCTACTATTTCTTCAGATTAATATGTTTAAGACTAAATGTGCTTTAAATAATGTCAGAAAATATTTCTTGAAAACAACTGTTTTCTGTGAAAATGAAGTCAAAATTTCGCATTTTCAGAAACTGTCAAACATAATTTTCTCAGAAATGGCTCTCTTTTTTTCACACTTTTCCAAAAGATAGTGCTAGTTGCTCAGTTTAAGATGACATAGAACTAATTTTGCAGTTTTAATTTGTTTTCAAAAATTACACAAATGTATTTTTTTAATTTCTCTAATGCCTTTAATATGGCATTTCCAGCGATTTGTAAACATTATTGTATTTGTAACGGGAAGTTGTTAAAATGACTTTATATGAAGTTTTTGAAAACTATAATTTTCATTGAAAACTTCTGTGGCGGTAGCGAGAAAGTGAAAAGAGGCGCTCAGACCATCTTCATCTGCATTTTGTGAACTTAACTATTCATTTGAATTGCAAACAGAGAGAAGAAAGAAATAGAGCTGATGTTTGTTTAAATGAAATATTTGAGAATAGAAATGTGTTGATGTGTTGTTTTTTTGTCGAGTGTCCTCCCTTTTGCCTGAACACTGTTGGTAACCCTAGCACAGAGTATAAGAGGGATATGTGTTTTTGCAGGGCCCTGCGGCCGCTGAGGTGGCTCTGGAGCTGGGTGGAGGCTGCGCTGGGCGCGCCCGTGGCGCTGTGGGCCCTGGCCAGGCGGCGTGCGCGACTCCTGTATTGGGGCAGCAAGATCCCCGGCCCTTTCGCGCTGCCTATCATCGGGAACGCCCTCGACATGTTCTCTCAAGACTTCACAGGTGGGCATGGACATAGGAACAAGCTGGCTACCTTTTTCTAGCTTTCGTAAAAAAATATTAAATTCTTTGTTGCTAGCTTTCGGAAAACATCCAAAAGCCCCACCGGCTGACCAAAGGGCTACCAGTTGCCATTTGGCTACATCACTACACATATATACGTATATCGTATATTGTAATTTCCGGGCTCGCGTGTTATGAGGATTTGATGTTAAGATGGTTGTGAACCAACCAAACCGGCATTGGCTGTGAAATGGTTAGCGTGTAGGACTTACTTTAGCAGATGAGCACGGTGGGAGGTGCAAAGTAGTGAGTACGACTCCATAGAGAATCAGAGCGGGTTTCGGAGGATTGTTTCCTTTTCAGGTGTATGCAATTTCATCTGTTTTTCATATATACGCTCATCCTTGAGTCCCTGTTCACAATTACTGAGAATCAGGGAGTACGTTTGAGTATTCGCAGTAAAAGACCGGAGCACACAGAAGCGCTACATTTCTTTGTTTCACAGAAAGACTATTACAAAAATATTTATTTGTTAACTCGTATCTGAAATATTCTGTTTGCAAATGTAAATATATAAAAATGCAAAACGCATGCAAGAAATATTTAGTAAAAGGTAAAATATGGGTGCGTCAACTACGTAGGTCATTAGTCCCGCAAATGTAACCAATGTTACATCCCGGGAGGTGGCGGTGTTCCTCTACCGCTGAAACGTGAGATCCGGTGCCACACTACACGTCGGTTTGTGGGCTTTCCCATTGAAGCCTCGCCCCCACGGAACAAGCTCTGAATTACCAACAGGTGTAATAGTGTAGTGTTTTTAAAAATAAGTGTAAAAGGAAAGGAGAATTTCGCGCGGTCCGTGGCCTTTTTGTTAACGTACTACTGCTTCTGCATCCGCCTGAAAATTGTGGAGAAACAACGGACAACTACAAACTTACAGTAGGCGTCCGGTGGAATTCTCCTTCAGACAGCGGCTGAATTCGATCCAGCAATGTAGTAAAAATCAAAAAGCTGCCTCCGTCGGACTCAAATCCAAGGATCTCCTGGTCGACTACGCAGCATTATCAACTGTGTTGTCACTGAGTAATCGCATCCGGTTCCAAGACGATGTTGAGGGGTGGGGGAGAACCGCCCTCGGAACCTTCTCACCTGAACTGGGCTGACCCGAACCTCCCAGGCGCAGCACTAGTATTTCCATGAAATCATCGGGGGTGCGGCCTAGCTTATTGAAAAGGGCATTTCCAAAGCTGAGCGCTTCCAAATTAATTTATGTCGGATCCGGGGGGAGAGATCACTGCCAACGTTCTGGGGGCATACTCTAAACTTCGGGGAGTAACGACCTTAGACTTTGACGCGTCCAAAATCACTAATCAACCCACTAACCAATGTACGTACGTTATTTAAACATGAACATAGTGTTCAATTGGATTGAATTCATGCCTTACTTTACGTGGCGAGACGCGGACCATCAGGCGCGCTCTTCCGTTTGACCACGCAAATTTCTCTAAATTTCTTTCACCAACTAGCGGAGAAAGGGGGGATTTCTTGGGCGAGGAAATACGCGATTTGAAATTATCACAGAGGCGTCATTTGGGTTTGAGGATCTTTTCCTGGAAGTAAATCTACTAACATGGGACAGCCGGCTTTTCTTCCCCTCCGAAGGAAGGCGTAGGAAGGAATAAACAGCCATTCAACTTTGGCGAGCAATGGTTCGCGATCCGGGTACGAACGGGTGCCGTGTGCACTATTCGTATTACTTAATTCATTATTTTTAAATTAGTAGCACAACCCAGCAGACGTTTTCCTTCTCTCCATATCTTTCTTCTTTCCTCTTCTTTTTTCTTACCGTCTCTCTCACAGTCTCTTTGCACTATGGAAATCATGGTTTGATAGAAATATCTATGCGACTCATAAAATGTGTACCAGAATGCTGTGAAAAAAAAAAACAAAATAACAACAACAACAATAATAATAATAATAATAATAATAATAATAATAATAATAATAATAAAGTTTGAGATTTGCAATATTTGAAAACAATTATGCATATCGCTTGCAACTTACAGAAAATTTATTTGCATTGATAACGTTTTGCAGATTTGCTAGTTTTGTATTGTTAACAAAATAGTAATAAGTCTCTTCACTCTCCTACAACAACTTGTAAAAGAGTTCAACAAAACGTGCGCATAGTGAAGCTACATTTATTTGGTACACTATATTGAACCGTTTCTTTTTTTTAGTTGTCTACAGGCTGGCAACAGATTTGATGACCAAGTATCAACCTTTTGGACGCATTTACATGGGACCTCTCTTATGCGTTGTGTCATCGTGCCCACAAGACATTGAGGTAATTTTACACACAAAACTTTGAATTGAAATGAAATAGGGACATTTTAGTGTAGTGGTACTGAGGTAGGGGACTAGGCTCAAGGTTAGCGAGCGTCCGCGGGTTCATATCCACATGGGGACATATATATCCATAAAATATCTTTATTGCATTAAAATTTGCTTCTTTGATAATTCTCTAATTCAAAACTCTTCCTTCACATGTATAAATATTTGTTAATGTAAAAGAATAGAACACTTTATAGCAATGAAGTGGTAGCTTTTGAGTTTTCTAATTTTTAAGTTATTAAATTTTATATGGTTTTTATGTTCAAGTTTACTAATTTTTCGCTACTAATTTGTAGTTTACTGTATTGCTAAGGCTACTGTTCAGGTGTGTTGTTTATATATTTTAATGCTTTAATTCAGATACAGCATACTCCTCTATTCTGTTTTTATGAGTCAAATTATATTAGTCAAAGTAATATATAGTAGAATTTTATGAGAGTTATATCAAAATTATATGAGTCAAAGTATTATTTAGTTGCTGCCGCCCTTCCCTCTCTGTACGTGGAAAGCAGTGGGGTGATTACAACTTTAAGTATATTTCCTCTGGTCAGTGGATAGAACGCAGTCCTGGTTCAGGTTGAGTGCCTTAATTACATGAAAAGACAACAAACATTTATTCTTCCGAAAACCTTCAAAAACCAAGCAAAAACAAAACAAAACGCTTGAAAAAACAAAAGCTTCCCCCGTCCGGCCTTAGCGCGGGCGCTGGCCGGGACGGCAGGCGCGGCGGCGGCGGCAGGTGTGAGCAGCGCCTGCAAGATCTCTGCCAAGGCGGGTGGAGGAGACGCGGCGTCAAGGCAGGCTGGATGGGTGGCCGTGTGGCGACTCGTCGTCTCCTCGCCACGCATCTGGGCGATCGCCGCCAACACCTCGACGCAGAGGGCGCGTCGATGTGACGGACGGACATATTGAAAACTTTTAGATATCAAGGGTTCACTGTTCGCGAAATCTGACTACATAAAGTGTTTGAGAGAGTAATTTGCTAAGTATTAGAACAGGATTTATCCAGTTTTTTTGCCGAAGCAATACACATTTTTCTCCATACTGTGTGTATTACTACATATGTACAAAATAAGGATTCTGGCTACACTATGTGTTAGAGGATTTTTTTTAAATTAGCAACTGAATTTATTCACTTTTTTGGTATCAGGGCCAGGCATTAATTTTTCCTGCCGAAATTCTACGGTTTTTTCACGCAGCATTGCATAACTTTCAGTACGCTATGTATATTACTCCGTATATACGTATGTATACGAGAAAGTAAAAATGACAAACTATGCATGTATAAATGTTTATATGTCCTTTACCAACAAAACTATAAAATTCAAACTTAGTTCATTTTATAGAATACAAGTTGAAGGTATATAATATAGAGTTTCCGGCGATAAATGATACAGGCGAGAGTATGTGTCAAATTCGAAAGGAAATAGAAAACTAATACGGAAAAATCCGTGCTATTCTGTAGCACCACTAGTTCTATATGTATTACTTCATATATATGTAAGTATTCGATAATGTAAAAATGTGAGATCTTCGAGATGGAAGACGAAGATTGAGAACATTTTTAGGGTGATGTCAGTTTTTTGAGGAAAGAAGAATATGGGAAAGGTGTAATGTTAATGATAAAGAGAGGTGGATATTCGAGGACAAAGATGAAAGGATCAGAGTGGTTGAGAAATACCGGAAAGGGCATAATAGACGTATGTACCTTAGCGTGTTATTGTACACTACTTGTAATGTAATCAGACTTATTATATATTATTTAGCGAATCAAACTGCTACTACGACGTTGAAAAATAAATTTATTTATTCATTTATTCAAATAATTGCATACTAATAAGGTATTGATTCAAAAAGATTATTTTAATTAACGAAAAAGTGTTAGTACTTTAATTATTACGAAAATGACTATCAAGCCAAGATAAACGGGTTAAGATTGGGGAGAATCTATGATTACATAAGATAAATATATCGCACGTGATCGAGTTTCTTAACATATTATGTGGTCCCAGCCAGGTCACTGATGTTACGGCACAGATGAAACCAATGTTAGGTATATTTTTATTCTTACATTGTTTAATTGTATTTAGAAAAATGTACAGTTTATGAAGGCATTCTGTATTTACTAGTGGCTTGAACAAACAAATTGTAGCTCATATTCTATTATAAAAAAACCTTCACATAATTTCATTCTGTAATGAAAGAGCAAATACTTGCACATACTTTTTTATGACCAATTTGTTTTATTAAATAGAAATCAAAAAGGCAGATATATTTCAATGTAGATCCTCAATTACGACTAGTAATTAATACGAGAGGGCCAACATAGTAATAAATGGAAAATTTGTGGAACAGTAAACAACGTTTCATACTTCGGAAGTATCATAAGTGTATACAACCAAACTCAGGAAGACAGAATTTTTTTTAATAATTACAATAGGATATATGGCACTAGTAATAAACACTTCGGCAGAGACATTTTTCGGAAACAAAATTGAAACTTCTCTATACAGCTGCTAAACCTAGAGCCCCGTATGGCTCTAAAACATGTATAATGAAAGAGATGGCAAGAGGAATCACAGAAAGAGATGGACATCAGAAATACA